GAGGGAGATAAGTGACAGTTGTGTGATGCGCTCACCACACCATATTTTTTTCTATTAAATAATAGTTGAAAGTAATTTAACGCTTAATGAGTCACATTTATTTTGAAAATTTTGCAACGACTGTAATATAATTAGATTCTATAGGAATATTGAAACATAGTTAATTTTGCTCAATTCAGTTTTATATTGGCATTTATAGTTCAAGCATTACTGTTTTGGCGGTTTTCTTGATTTAAATCAAATTTTTGTAAAGGTGGAGTATTTGCTTTCCAAGCTCCAAAAACTTTGCTTCTTCCGACCTACTACGCAATATTAGATGTATGCTATAGTATAGTATTTTTTTACATGACGGATTTTCTTTTAAAATATGTATCTCGTAACATATTTTACAACTCTCAGTCTAGTTCGCAGGGAAAAAGAAATTTTTGAGGAGGTTCTATTGCAACTGCATAATTTAGAGATAATTAGAGGCTAATAAGTGATCACGTTTACTTTCTAAAAGCAGCGGGCCTTATTAAATAGTGGAACAAATCTATTAATAAAATATTAAATTTATTGCATCTGAGTTGAAATTTTATGGGGATATAATCAAAATTTGTAACGCTTAGCAGGCATTAAACTCTCGCGTACTTGTCTTGATCAAGCCCTGGGGGTAAGATTAGAAAATGTGAGTGATGACTCATACATTTACATAAAACCTTCCCAGGGAAATCTACAAATAGTAGTGAAAAGAGAAATTAAGAGGATGAAAAATTAATTCAAGAAACACTTTTGATCGAAAATCACAAAACAAATTCAACATGTTGCCCTCTCATACTTCTCGTCGAATTATATAGATCTCGAACATCTCATTGATAGTCCAAGCAATGTAATAGCTGTATTTGAAATAACCTCTGGATATGTTGCCCAAATATTGTTTCCACCATTGTTTACTCACGAATAAACTTCTCTAGTTCTGATTCATATTGGACGAGAACTATTGGAGAAGAATCCTTGAGCTTTTAATTTGATGTTAAGGGATACTTCAAGAAAGAAGCTTCTGTCATGGTCCACTTCTTTTCCTTGATGATATTTGTGCTTGGACATGATGGATATCTAAAAAGTTGTCGGAATCCACATTTATCCCTCTGAATATTCTCAGTTGGAGGAGATAAGATATATATCTCCTCCCTAGAAGAATAAGACTGGTTTATAGTTTATCTGTCAGTTGTTATTCATATTCAGAAACAGTTTACTCAATGTAAGGAAAATTATAAATTCAATTACTGTCAAAAATCTCAAAATTGAGACCCACTGCCGTCTTCCAGCTAGGTCGTCAACGTAAGAAGTGGGAGGGAGGGAATCACTGTTCTTATAACACTCCCAACAATTCATAGAAGACAACCTTCCAGAGAGCAGTGCCAAGGACTGATTCCTGAGGGCATCTTTCTTTTCTGAAAGCTTCCATCTCGTAGTAATTTCCTTTAATCTTGACGAGCCTGTTCTGAAGGTAGCTTCTTACGAGTGAATACAAATTGCTGAGATCTGCAGCTGCTGGAGCACGCTAGGCCACCATACACTGTCGAGTGCGGAGGATATCAAAGAGTAGCATAATATATATAATGCTCCACTCTCCCTACAATATCTTGGCGCACTTTCAGCAGAGCGCTATTTTTTAGAGGAGTCTCAAATTAGCAATCTTTCAGCTTTTTGGAAAGTATTCCATATCCCGACATTCATTGAAATTAAAAGATGATCTTCAATATACGGAATACTGTTCCTCAAGATTGCCGTGTCTATTGCATCGAGACCTGGAGAACGATTAATTTCCTGCCTATCCATGGCAATATGAAGATCGTGAATGTCCCATGGTGTACATAAATCTGATAAGGGCGGATACACCGTGGTAAGTCTCGTAAAATCATAATTTACACTGTCTTAGGCTGGATCGTCTCTGGGGTAGTATAGTATATTGATTCAATAAAAATACTGGCTAGTCTCTTCCAGGGTGGTTGCCTGAGTGGTTGCAATCATCTGTAGCTGGGACAACTTATCCATTGCCACTCTGTACGGAATACCCCATGGATTCTTCGAAGACTCTTCAACGGTGGAATCGTCTCAGGACTTCCGCTTTTGTGAGCGTACCTCATTTCGATATATCCTGGATTTAAACTTATATTAAAGGCCAGGACTGCCGTTTTGAAAGAACAGTTCATTCGTTTGAAATCAAGAACAGTTGTTTTCAAATGTTTGGCGTTTTCGTTCCCACCCCTACATGACCTGCCAACACTTAGTGTAGACGTTTGATTAAATTATACTTTTCAACTTACAATAGTTTTTCCAGCTTCAAACCCATGACGTATCTTTCCGTTTCGTTTTTCTCTTACCCTTTCGTTTAGTAATACAAATATTTAGTTTAAAATTTATTTTATTAGCTTTTATAAATGGATTTTAATAAATTAGAACAGAGAGGTTTAAGAGTACCGCGGTATGTAGCAGTATACGTCACGTTACAGCAGGCTCACGCACCCTGGCCATAAACTTACTTACCTACAAGACAGTAATTTCCAGATTTTAGAAAAATTTGAACTTTTTTTTTATTCAATTCTTTATACGTTCTTTATCACTTAAATTCTATTACAATTCAATTTTTCCCCGTAAAAGTACATAATATACTAGTTTCCATGACATAATTTAAAAAATGATCGTTTTTTTGAGCTTTCTGGTAAATTAGGAATAGAGATGAGATGGCAAAATCTGATTAAGAACCTCAAAAAGCATATAGAACTGTTCAGTAAAAAACAGATGATTTATTTTTGTTATTTTTTATTGCATGGATTAATGATATATTATAATATAACTTACAATATGTAGTTCATTATAATAACCTGTAATTAACTTCATGACTAATTTGAAACAATAGGATTTACAGGCACTGGGGCCTTCACAGTTAAAAAATAAACAATTAAAACTCATTGCTGCATAGTCATGCTACATAATCATAAAATTAAATTCAATAATTAGTTAATTAAATAGTAAAACAAAGAAAAATAGGTTAAAATTGGCTCAAATATAGAGAATGGATAGATTGTTTCAATAAATATGTAGATTTTTTTTAAATGACAAAATATATAGTTTCAATCCATAACCTAAATGCTGTAGTTAAATAAAAACCAGTAAATTGATGCTAAATATTTATTGAAGACGTATTAAAACACTAAAAAACAGTTTAAAAATTTTCTTGGATGTGAACATAACTTTAAATACTGCAACTTAGTAATTGCTAAACACTGGTAAAAATTAATAAGCAATCTCTAAACAGAGCAATTAAAATAACAGCATAATATGATTACAAATAAAGAAATCAAATTATGTAAGCAATGATAAAAAATAATAACCAATTATTTTACTGACTTGTTCAGTAACTATACACGGTTAATGGGTTTGTTATGAGGTGCAATAATTAAATAATTTAATACGCACCTATAGAATTAGTATTCAAAATCTCCTATTTAGGAATAGCAAACATTGGAAAAAAAGACTCTTTTCAAAATAACTTCAGTAACTCAAAACAAAATGTTCCCGCCTGTAATTACGCAGTCCAAAGAGAACTCACGTCGCTCTATCAAGACTTAATCATCTTCAGAAAAAGAAATAGAAAAATTGATATTCGTTGTCAAAACTGGAATAAAAAATATTCTGTTTTTCTAGAGGTTGAAACTTTTTTTTTTTTAAGTTCCATTCTAACACTTTCTGTGAAACGTTTTAGGAAAAAAGTATTTAAAATTAAAATTATGAGGAAATTTTTGTAATCAAGTCCCAGGTATATGATAAAAGTTTAGCTTATATTTATTCTAAAAAACAATCCGTTAAATAAAAAATAAACAGTTATTGGGCTTAGATTAGAGTTACAATTTGTCTTAACAGAATTACACATGGTTCTAAATAATATGTCGTTTGTTTGAGTAGGTATAAATAACAGTAATTTTTTAGATCAACATTTTAGTGAAATGGACATTTTTAAAAAACGTTAATTAAAAATTCTTTAAATAAACGTTTTTAAAAAATAAATGTTATGTAAAACCTTTAACCGTTAACTTTTTTAAAATACTGGTACGATGGTGACGGAACCAACTGGTACCTCTACCAGTATTATCATATGCCAGTAAGTTTTATGTAGCTACATTATAAACATATACATTATAAAAAAATAAAATAAAAAACATCAGATTCAACACCACCCAGTTATCTTCGCTTTCAAATACTAATCTTATTATCATTTAAGAAAACTTCACACGAACATAAGGGATGTATTTTCTTCAGTTGTGTTGTCTCCTTAACGTTCTATTATCTTAATCTTATAAATAAATATGATGTGCTAAAGTTTATTTTCGAAATTCTCTAAACTTTGATCGCTCTTTCTATTACAAAAAAGGCGGTATATGTTAATTGATTCTCGTAGTGACGTCAGCCGGCGTAAGTTTCTCGTGTTGTTAAGTTAGTTTCATCCTTGATTTTCTATATTCCTTGGGTTTAACTTTAGTGTTTGGGTTTAACTTGAATTAAAATTTAAAGAATAGTTTTCTAAGGATTTTTTTAGTGTTTTTATCAAATTTGAAGTTTCCAGTGAACTTTCTGAGACTTTTTTTTTCATATTTTAGGTCTTGTTATTATATCTCTGTTAATCGATAGTTACTGCTTTAGTTATATGCTTAGATGTGATTAGTATAATTTATAATTGACATTACTGTGATCATACTTGAAGAAATTGAAAAGGAAAAACTAGTAAGTGTGTAAGGATTGTTTTCTAAGCATCAGCCTTGTAAAACCAGTGTTGATTTTATTCACTTATGTATCAGGGTATAAACAGTCTGTGTTTAATCCCCAGAATTATTTTATAAATGAAAACAACTGTTTATTGAATCTTTTCATTCCCTATGGATTGAGTATCTATTTTAAATTAAGTTGCTGTATAAATAAGTTTAACAAAAAGTCTGAGTGTATTTAATTTAATTTACTAAATGGCTGAACTAAATCTTGAAATACGAGCTATTTTGCTCCATTATTTTAAAAGTGGTTATAAAGCCACAAATGCTGTTCGGGAAATTAATAAAATGATGGGAGAGAAGTCAGTTTCTGAACGGGCAGGGCAAGTATGGTTCAAAAAATTTAGAGATGGTGACATGAGCCTTGAAAGTAAGTCTCGTTCAGGGCGCCCACGTTCCTTGGATTCTGCAGTTGTGTTAGCAGCTGCAGAAGTAAATCCTAGTACCAGTTCCAGAAAACTTTCGGCTGCGTTGGGTGTTTCCCATACAACCATAAACAACATTCTACGAGCTGGCTGCATGGTTCCTGGAAGCTGGAATACTGGTAATTACTGTAGCATTAAGCTGGTAATACAGAACCATAATTAACAAAACTAGGAGAATATGCTATTTTAAATTGTAGTCTTTATCGTGTATTTCTTATCCTTTAGCTCTATTATTGGAAAAATAATAAAGTTTATAAAAGAAATGCTTAGGATAAGCCTTAGGGCTTAAGATTGGATAGCATCGTAATATCTGAATTTATACGAAAAATAAAAATTTTTAATATTCAAGCAATTGAAAAATTCTACCCTTTCCCTCATTGATTTAATAGCTTTTTTTTTTGGTGTTATCTTGACAGTATTGGTGACTAGCTAGTAATAAAAGTTAATTTTTCAATACTTAAAGTTTAAACATTTACTTAACAAGTACTATGGGTTTAGCAATTTTTTAAAGTAATGATTGAATTTAGATAAAATTTTAATAATGTTGGATAGGAGTTGTCATTTGGAAGTTATTCTCGGTATGTGTGCTACTTTATTTACCCTACTGGTTTCAATGTTAATTCTGATCACTATTCCTCTTCTACTGCCATTCTATGTACAGATATGGATATCACAATATCTAGGTTTTTTTTTGGAGTCAGTACTCGATTTGGAAATACATTGTATTGACCTGGTAGATATATTTATCTAAGATAAAACTTTTTTCTTAGTTTTATCTTTGGTACAAATAAATCAATAATTTTCAAGTTAATCCACTATCAGCCATATTTACACCAGTTTAAAAAAATTTTTTGTCACTTAATGACTACTCATCAAAATGACGACGTTTCGGCTCGTCGAGCCATTTTCAAGTCTAAAATACCCATCATGTACCTGTCATTTTCACTTATGCGAATTGCAAGCGTCATGTTTCTGAGTCACCCACATGTCATCCATCTCATTTCTATTCAGTCACTGAATAGAAATGAGATGGATGACATGTGGGTGACTCAGAAACATGACGCTTGCAATTCGCATAAGTGAATATGACAGGTACATGATGGGTATTTTAGACTTGAAAATGGCTCGACGAGCCGAAACGTCGTCATTTTGATGAGTAGTCATTAAGTGACAAAAAATTTTTTTAAATTGGTGTAAATATGGCTGATAGTGGATTAACTTGAAAATAATAGTATGCACCGAAGAAGAATTGAGTAATATTGTAAATCAATAATTAGAAAAACAAAGTAGTTCTATAATCAACTATTCCTCAACCTGTTGACATTTTTAACAAAAGGCAATTTGAACTTAAAGTTTGATTGTAAAATGATAGTGAAAATTAATTTAATAAGTCGAACATTCATATACTAACAAAAAATAAAAAATCAAAGAAAAACCAAATAATTAACTCTTGTTTTTAAAATTTATTTATTTATTGAAATATGCAACTGTATATTTTGTAAGATATTAATAAGTAATCTGGAAAGATAATTCATCAGAATCTTAAAAGACGGTACTATAGAGTAAATCAGTGTCCTCATACACTGACTGGCAAAAAATAGGTAATCTTTTTGTTTATTTTCAATTAGGAATGTTAATATAGAGGACAATAACCCTTAATCCTTAATTCAATTAAATGATTCTAAATTCCAACGTTTACTTTCTATGGAATCAAAATGTTTATTCAGTATCATTAGTTCAGTGCCGTTTCTTGCAGCACATTTCTTAGTCTCCGGCTTTTAATTTTTTCAATATTAAGTTTAAAAATGCCTCTTAGTACTGAGGATGTTGCGCGTGGTGTGGCACTTATTGATGATGGACGTCCCATTAGATATGCAGCTAATGCTATCGGAGTTCCATATGAAACTTTACGAGACGCCGTCAGGCGTTTTCGGGAAACTGATTCTTATAATAGAAGGCCCGGTTCTGGACGGCCTAGGGTAACAGAACCACTGGATGACCGGTTTTTGACTTTGAGAATTTTACGAAACCGGCACCTTACCGTTGTTCAAGCGATGCATCGGCTCAAAGAAGTTCGAGATGTGTAAGTTTCTGAACGTACCACTCTTAGTAGATTAAATGAGCATGGATTAATAGCTTTTCGTCCAGTAAGAGGACCAGAGTTGACCAGAACTCATAGAGTAACACGGCTGTCTTTTGCTCTATAACACAGCCATTGGACTATGGACGCATGGAGTGCTGTACTTTTTACAGATGAGTCAAGATTCGCTCTTCGATCTCCAGACGGGCGTGAAAGGGTGTGGAGAAGAAGAAACGAAAGATATGCAGCCTATAATTTTTCCCAGAGCCAACCTTTCCAACGTGATTCCTTAACGGTGTGGCCTGGGATTTCAATGGAGCGCTGCACAGAATTGGTTGTTGTTCGTGGAGGGTCTTTGACGGCCATTCGCTATGTAGATTTTGGAACCTCATGTGTTGCCTATCCTCAACGAAATCGGCGATCGTTCTATTCTAATGCACACCCACATGTCGCCGGCATAGTCCAGACGTTCCTTCAACAGAAAAATATTGAGGTTTTAGCCTGGCCAGCACGTTCTTCAGATTTGAACCCCATTGAGCATTTATGGAATAACGTCGGAAGACGAATAAGAGCGCGTGCAACACTTTCTGATACACTGCAGGACCTTGAAAGGGCTCTTCGGAAGGAATGGGCTATCCTCCAGCAAAGGGACATTTCCCGACTCATGGAAAGTATGCCGAGGCATCTTCAAGAAGTAGTAAAAGCAAGAGGAGGAAACACGCGCTACTAAACGATGATGTAATTAATTTCTTTTAGAATAATAATGGTTCGTTTTTCAATTTTTTTTTTCTTTAATCTTTCTTACCCGATCACATTTTGATTATTAAAGTTAAAAAAAGATTATAAAATTCCATAAATACTAAGTATTATCTACAAATACAACTTTTTTTACAAGTGGGTGAAATATTTTTAGATGAAAACATGAAAAAAATCAAGTGGGTGGAATTTTTTGTCTGTCAGTGTATATAAAAAAAAAATTTATAAATCGTTCCTGGAAAGTGTCGCCCTCTATTCAGCCGAAACTTGGACAATTAAAGAGAGTTAATCAAAAAGATTGCTAGCTCTAGAAATGGACTATTGGAGGTGATCGTGTGCTCTTTCTTGCCCTCAAAAAGTTTCAAATAGTGAAATTAGGTGAAAGAAATATAGAACTAACAATAAATGCCTCAATAGAAGTCAAAAGATCACATGGTAGGCCATAAAGCAGATGGATAGATAGAATAAACAAAGATACAATAGAGCTGTATGGAGATAAATGTAAAGAAATAGCCCAAGACAGGCAGAGATGGCTTGTGAAGGTGGCAAAAGATCTACATGGTCTGTAATGCCAACAGAAAAAAAAAAAAATTACCAACATAAAATATAAATTTTAACTTTACTGTTTTTTTTAATATATCTAAAAAACAAACCATTTGTCAACCATATAACCTCTGGATCAGGATTAGAGATAGATCCCCTCCCTTCACAGACTCCAAATATAATGGATCCTTCAACAGCCAAATTAATATCAATAGAAACAAATGAAGAACACGTTAAATCAGTTCAAAAATTAGAAGAGAAAGATCTAACACCGCAGAGTAGTGATAAACCATTTACCGTGGCAGGGGTCTCCTGTGCTAAGGTAACAGGGAGATATCCTTCTACAGCTTCTATCCAACCTTCTACTTCAACTTTTGATATTTCTTCAGCTATAAAATCTTCTATGGAACCTCTTCTAACTGAACTTAAATCCCTTTTATCCCCTATTTTAGAACTTCTAACTAAACTAGTTTCTACTTTCATTTCTAATCCTTCCAATGACTAATTCGAAATCACCTTCTCTAAAAATACTCCTATGGAACTCCAATGGTCTGCTCCAACGAAAAAATGAACTGGAAATTTGTTTAAAAGAACATGACATAAACATAGCTCTGATTACTGAAACTCATTTAACAGACAAACAAACATTTAAGCTACAAGATTACGAAACTTACAGAACTGACCATCCAGACCACACAGCACATGGAGGAACTGCAATTATTGTGGACAAGTCCTTAAATCACCATATTCTTCCTGCTGCTTCTACGAATTCCCTACAATACACCAACATTTCTCTAAACTCCACAAAATTCCAACTCACGATTGCCTCAGTCTATATAGCTCCCAATAAAGTTATATCCACGAATGAACTAAAGGCTATTTTCTCGACAATGGGAAAATCATTCATTGTAGGAGGAGATTTTAACGCAAAAAACACAAGGTGGGGATCTAGAGTGTCCAATACTCGTGGAAAAAGACTACAAAAATGTATTGAAGATTTGAAATTTTCTGTAATTTCGCCATCTCAACCTACTTACTGGCCTACTTCACTATCAAAGTCTCCCGATCTTCTTGATTTCTTTGTCACAAGCTCCGTACCACATGCACATTCCAACGTTTCCTCTCTCCTTGACCTTTCATCTGATCATAGCCCAATTTTACTTGAACTTTCGAACAACCCTTTCGTTAAACCTGAACCCCCGACATTAATTAACGGTTACATAAACTGGGACGACTTTAAACATTTTTTAAACAACAAAATTATGTTAAACACTTTAATTAGTACAGCTGACGACCTCGACAATGCAGTCAACGACCTAACAAAAAGTATACAAGAGGCTATTTGGCATTCAACGAGACCACCAAAGACATACACTAAACCTGCTTCTTACCTACCTCAGCCAATACATAATCTTATAAAAGAAAAACGTAGGATTAGAGCCCTATGGCAAAGAACTAGATATCCATCGTACAAAACAGAACTCAACAAACTAACTAGAAAACTTCACGAAAAACTATTAAAATTTAAAAATGACAGCTATAAAGACTACATAGACACAATAAACAATAGAAATGGATCAATATGGACAACAACAAGACGTATACTAAAGAAAAAAGACCTTCAATACCCTCTCCGACGTACAGACAACACTTGGGCAATAACAAGCGAAGAAAAAGCCAATGAATTCGCTAAATATCTTGCACAAGTATTTGGGACAAACAGAATACAGGACAATAATTTTACTGACGCAATAGAAGAAGAACTGACAACACCACTACCCTTATCACTACCCCCACGGGCATTTCATCCGAAAGAAATTTACAAAGAAATCAACAGACTACCAAACAAAAAAGCTCCTGGCTATGATCTAATCACTCCCTTCATTCTTCGACACCTACCTCGAAAAGCTGTTTTGTTTCTTACACACATCTATAACTCCATTTTACGCACTACCTATTTTCCTCTCCTTTGGAAACTCTCCACAATCAAAATGATTGCCAAACCTTCAAAACCTACCACTTCTCCTTCATCCTATCGTCCTATAGCACTTCTTCCAATAATGGGCAAACTATTCGAAAAACTATTACTAAACCGACTAAAGCCTATTCTAGAATATGGTGAAGTGATACCAAATCACCAGTTTGGCTTTCGCTGTTATCACTCTACTGTGCAACAGTGCCATCGGATAGTAGATGCTATCTCTGTGACTTTTGAAAAAAAGGAATATTGCTCTGCCGTCTTTCTCGACATAGAGAAAGCATTTGATAGTGTCTGGCACAAGGGCCTATTATGGAAACTAAAACCGCACTTACCTTCCACTTATTTTTAAATTCTTCAATCCTACTTTCTTAATAGATTTTTCTGTACTTCCGTAGACTCTTCTGTATCTTCCTTCTTTCCCCAACACAAAGGCGTACCACAAGGTAGCGTCTTGAGCCCAATCCTCTATTCTATATACACTTCTGATATCCCTGAACACCCTAATACCACCATTTATTGCTTCGCTGACGACACTGCTATTCTATCTTCACACAAAAATCCTACTATCGCATCAATTGCCCTACAAAACCATCTTCATTCTCTTGAAAAGTGGTTTGAAAACTGGAGAATCAAAATTAATAGTACAAAATCCACCCACATTAGTTTCTCTCTTAGGAAAGCCTCATGTCCACCCATAACGATTGCCAATAATCCAGTGCCTTCAAAGAACTATGTACGGTACCTTGGACTCTACTTAGACAAAAGGCTTACTTGGAACATACATACGAAATTAAAAAGACAAGAACTTACTAGACGATATAGCCAACTTTCACATCTTCTGGACTACAGATCTTCACTTAACTTACGAAACAAGCGACTTATCTACAACACCTTACTGAGACCAATATGGACATATGGAGCAGAACTTTGGGGTTCAGCAAAACAAACACACATAAACAAAATACAAACAGCACAATCAAAAATTATACGAAAAATTGTTAACGCACCTTGGTACATTTCAAACACTACTATACATAACGACTTAAACATCCCAACAGTAAAATCCTACATCCACGACAAATACACTACATTTCATTCTTCAACCCAAAATCACTCCAATCCTCTGGTTCTTTCTATCTCCTGCTCCCTGTTACCTGAGCAACGAAGATTAAGAAGAAAATGGCCAAGAGACCTACTACATCAATAAAAAAAAAAATCAAGCAATTACAGCAAGGCAATAAAAATACAACAAATTTGCTAGATGCGCAGGTGCAAATTGCATAAAATAAAATAAAATAAATAAAACTTTACTGTATTTATTGACTTCCAATTTTTATTATTATTATGACAGCCTAAAAACTGCTCAGTCTACCTCTCCACTCCATCAGTTTCACACTCATGTTTGGTTAGAGTGAGTGGATTTTGGCATTGTTTGATAGAGTCTAGGACTGAAGGAACCCTGACAGCTCCACATTACTCCAAAAAATCCACTCAGGATTTTATACTCACGATTGTTCCTCATTCCATTTATGGTGGAACTGATGGAGTGGCCACCTTCAGAGAATACATAGATCTTTTAGATCATACTTTTATTTTATTTCAGATGCCAGTAATGTGGAGGAAGATATTTATGAACAATCGGTGATAACTGATGAAGGTGAGAGACCATTCACTAGTCTATTAGAGCCAACTTATACAAGTTATTGTGTGCTTAGACTTTAGATTATCTTGATTCAAGAGACCAATTACAAAAATGTTTTCTATTCTACTCGACCATCTAAAAGACATTGAGAAGATAAATATGTTTTTGAATACAGTATAATTAATTATGATTATTGGCACAACAATAAAAGTGTAGCTAGATTTAGCAGCCTATATTTTCTAACCTTGACCTTTATTTTCAGAGGAGATTATTTTGAATAACTCCATGGAAGCTGAAGTGCTGTTAGATGTTGACGAGACTAAAGACCTGAAATGTAATAAAATCAATTACTAGTTTCTTTGTCAATTACTTAGTCTTCTTTGTGTTTTACATTATCTGTTATAGATAGTGAATTAACAAAATAGATATTGTTTAAGCAATCATTATTTGATTTCAGATACCAGTAATGAGGAAGATGATATTTCTGAAAAATCTGTAATAGCTGATGAGGGTATGAGAATATTCACCAGTCTATTATAACCAGTTTTACATCCTTGATATCAATACTCCTTCAAATTTTTTCTTGTATAAGTTAAGATATCATGGCCATGGTTTGTTAAGGTTCTACCGAAAGAAATTAGGCAAATTGACTTTTCATTTAGGAATCGCTCACAACAAAGTTGTTTATCTTTCATTGAATTTTATTGTCATCAGTTGAAAAATGAATAAATTCGCTGTGAGATGATATTATTAGTTACCTATTATAGTTAACTAATTAGTGACAACTTAATTAATTAGGTTCTAACCGTAATCCACTCCATGACTATTCATTTCTAGTTAATTATATTATTAGTAAAGTTCCATAATAATGCTGTTCTATATTACTATGTAATATTATATATTTTTTTCGGTTGGCTTTACAAACCTTGTAGATCTTTGGCGGCCTGAAACAGCCTTCTTCACCTCTGCCTATCTTGGACTGCAGCTTTCCAGTTTGCGTCATGAAGCTCAGCTGTATCTTTGTTTATTCTGTCAATCCATCTGGTTTTTGGTCTCCCACGTATCTTGTCTACTACTCAGGCATTCATTGTTCTTTAAAGGTGTACGGATATATTGTTTCGAGCTACATGCCTCACCCATCTTGACTTCATAGCCTTCATATCATATTGACTACAGATATTGACTGACCAGCTTATGTTAGCAGTTCTTTATTGTTCCTTTTCCTCCATGTTTTAAGGTTCTGATCCGAAGATAGGTCCTCTTATTGTAAGGAGCACTTTTCTTTCGAATCTCTACAGACTTTCACTTTGATATAATATATAATATAATATTTTTATATTCTTTTCGGTGTGTAATATTTGAATCGGTTATTTCATAAACAAAGCAGGTGATATTTTCATATATGATATTTAAATTTTAGAAGATAAAAATATACCATGTAAACAATAATTTTTTACATTTACAGGTTTTAGCAATGTATATATTATTAGATTTTCAGAAAAGTTTATATAGGTGTTGTTTGAAAAGAATGAAAATCATGTATGGTGTTTTAACTTTCATTTACCTATATATGTAATACATAGTAAGGGAAAGTATTGCGATTGTGAAAATGTTTGAATCTGAGTTTTCAACAGAATTATACATTTTGAGGTCCCCTTAGTCCAAATAACCAAATCCTGCAATATTGTCTGTGTGTATGTGAATAGTGAAGCTCAAATATGAAAAGTCGTACAAAACTGATATTATGTATTTATGAAAGGTGTATACCTTAGATGTGACAGCAACTTTTTCCTTAAAATCGGCTAACCGGAAGTGCCACTGGTGAAACACATTTTCACAATTTTCTCAAAAACTACTCTAATGATTTTGATTAAACTCGATGTATCATTGTATAATTTAGTGGTCTTTAATATCATTTAGGTCTTATATCCATTTATGTCACTTTACAGGGCTTAAATGCCCAATGTTCATGTACATCTTCCTGTAAAGTACATTTAATATGGTTTATTTAAAAAAATTAACTTGCTTTTATGGACAGTAATTATAAAAAAGTGGCTAAATATGAAGTTTGAAAGATTATGATAGTTGGAAACTGGAGAAAAAGAGAAAAATGCTTATCCAGGTTGAAAATGAATCTCCGGTAACAACAGTCAGAAGGTGTACTTATAATATATCATTGGAAAGCAGAGAATTTTAGAAAAAATATTTTATTGCATAATAAAGAATAAATAAAGTTGTAGAAGGTAACGGAGAGTGACAAAAAAAATATAAATAATAATTTTAGAAAACTAACATTATTTATTAACGTAAATCACATGTTTCCAAGAAAATTAAATTAAATTTTCTTACTAAATTTAAACTTTTAAAAACATAAAGAGGCAAAAGAAGGATTTCAATAATCTGGCAGGAACATCAAAATTGCGTTGTTACTAGACAATACCATTTTTTCTGGTAGTGAATAAATTAATGAAAAATAATTTTATTTAGGTAATGTCTCTTAAGTTTGGTCAGATTCTGCAAGAAGTAAGTTTTAAATCATTCAAAATATCCTAAACACTACTTGTATTAAATAGAATGAGAAAATAGGAAGCTCCTCTGTTATTGAACCATCTGTTCGACTTTTCTAATAGTTAGGTTTCAGTTTCTCTACTCTAGAGGGAGTTGAGTTATTTCTGAGAATGTCTTATTAACATATATTTTGTTTAACATTGTCTCCCTTTTTTCCTTACTTCATTTATTCCCAGTATTTGTAATAGTTATCATTTTCTTGATTACTTGCCTGTTAGAAATCTAAAATTCTAAATTCAATTAAGTGAAAATAAATAGCTATATTTTATAATCTATACATTTTCTATTTTCTCTATTTTTTTTTCTTTCAGATGAGATTGTTTCTAATCAACCAAAAATAGAAGCTGATATCGTGATGGAGGTTGATGAGACTAAAGATATACAATGTAGGTTTTGTTCATAAAATTCTGCTCATTTGTTGACGTTTAATTTGAAGTAATTTATTTATTTTTCAAACTTCAGGTGCTGATTATGAGGAAGAAGATGTTTATCAACATGGAGTGATGACAGATGATGGTATTAGATTTATTTTATTTTTTATGCCAAAATTTAGTTTTTTAATAGTCTTATTCCTTAAAAATTCTATATGTTTATTGTTCCACTTTTTGGTATTTTGAAAATTGTAATGGAATGTGATAACTTTAAACAACGGAAATAAATATTTTGAGGTCTCCTGAGTCCTAATAACCAAGTCCCGCAAAATGGTGTGTGTGTGTATTTAATATTACCAGTCTAGCTCAAAAACGAAAAGTCGTATGAAAGTGAAATTGCATATTTAAGGTTTTTAAAACTTTCAATGTTACAGGAATATTTTCGTCAAAATCGGCAAACCAGAAGTGTTACTTTATATAATTGATTTAACACATTTTTCTACGATTTTCTCAAAAACAGCTTTTAACAATTTTGATTAAACTCAGTATATCAGTATATTAATTAGCAGTTTTTAATATAATGTAGGTTTTATTGTCATTGACGTTCTCCATCAGAACTTAAATATTGGCTTCCTCTAAAGTTCCTTTATTTTAAATAATTAACCATTTCACATTAATCTTTGATATATAAAATAGTTAGATATAAAATATGAAAGAATTTGATAATTGACTAAAGGAGAAATAAGAGATCGTAATGGATAATAGTTGTAATAGCGGAATCAAACAAATACGACCTTGCCGAGCTTGTCCGAAAGATTACAACAGGCCTCCATACGTAATATGAGCTTCATATAATACGGACTCCAACAACATTATGTTCATATACATATGCGGTTTTCATAAATGCTATCGTTGGTATTATTTAATATTTAGTTGTATAGAATACATCGATATAAAAATTAAAATTTGTATATATAAGGATATTTAAACAAATAAAAATATCCACTATGAATTGTAAATAAATATAGCATCAATAATTTTTACTTTCACTTTCCCTTTGTCTGAAAAGATTTATTTCTGCTAAGAAAAGAGTGGTAAGTGAAAGTCATGTGATGCACGCACCAGATTTTTTTTTTATTTGTTCGGGGAACAAATTTTCCATGACTTTGAGCTATTAAAATTGGATTCTTAGCTACTAAAAAAATGAACATGGTTTCCTTTATCTCCGCGGCACAGAATCTTTGAGTAGTAATTAACTTCTCTTGACAATAAGGTAATAGAAAGATGTTTGATTCGCGCACCGCACCAGATATTTTTATTATTAAAAAGAACAATAATCAAACAAAAAGTCACTACATTCAAATTGATTGTGTATATAAATCAAGGGTTTGTACAAAATTGTCTTAAGCTTTATTATAAATTACTTTTATTTTTTTCGTCTTTTCGACTCATATAGGTATAAATATAGTTTATAAATAAAGTTATCATAATGCGGAAATGTATTGAACTAAATGTTTAGTTATTAATGATCTCAGATAACAGCTATATGAATCATCACCTTTTAGGACTCTTGTGTCCACTTTTTAGAGTTTGATAAAATCGATAATAAATTATTGCTTGTAGTTAAAACTTCCTAGGGCTAAAATGAAATGAAACTTTTCCTCATAGAATAATATGATTACATAAATGTTGTTTTACTTTATATGGCTGTATTTATGAATAGGCTCTTGTAAATTTGAGATCAAGCATATTTAAAAGTACAATGAGAGACTGAGGATTTATATACTCTAAAGATGAATTCTGATTAAGATCGGACAATTTCGGAAGAAACAGATACAATAGTTTTAATGGAAACATTTGCACACATCCTAATAAATGAGAGTGAATGAAATATAAATGGGATTTTTTTTTTTGAAAAAAAGGCAATTATAATTTGTTTTTCCTATATAGTTTCTGAAATTCAGTTTTGATTTCTAACCAGATCTCTTCTGGTTCCGCCAGCCACTCTCCTTAGTTATCTCTTTTCTGCAGCTGTTACTCGGCTCCAGTGAATATGCTTGATAAGAAATATTAATAGGATTTCTCCATCCAAAATGAATATTGGAACTGATATAATTTAATATTAAATCCTCTAACATATAAAATAAGATAAGTAGAAACATAAAATCTGTAGGTGTATAATTATGATCATCAAAATCATAGGATTTATAAGTAACAATATGTTCAAATATTTATAATAAATTTGATGACAGACAATTTGTTTTTATAATGTTATAAGCATAAAGTACTGTTTCAAAAACAAAAAGTTGAAAGAAATAAAATTTAATGATTTTGATAAATTAACTGAAATTATTAAGATGGGCATTGTAACCTGGAAAATAATAGATTATTTTCAAATAAGAGTTGTCTGTTTAATTAAACTAGGATCTCATTTTTTTCCTGTGGTATTTTTATAATAAGTTATAATATTATGTTTTTAATTTTTATTTTTCAGATGGGCTGAAGAAAAATTACCAATGTCCATACTGTGATCATAAAACTGGATTCCCCACAAATTTAAAGAATCATATAATGGCCATTCATACTAAAGAAAAGCCTCATAAATGCCCTCATTGTGACTATAGTTCTGTTAGGCCTGGAAACTTGAAAGCACATGTAATGTCTTTTCATACTAAGGAGAAGCCTCTTCAGTGTTCTTTTTGTAGTTATAGAGCTGTTATCGCTAACACATTGAAAAAACATATAGCATCAGTACATTCCAGTAAAACACACCAGTGTCCCCATTGTGAGTATAGCGCTGTTAGAAACGAGTATTTAAAGAGACACATAATGTCCCTTCATTCAGGAGAAAAACCTCATAAATGCCCTGATTGTTGTTACAGTACCGATAGGCCAGGTTATTTAGAAAGGCATATCATGTCCAAACATACAAAGCAAAAGGAGCATAAGTGTCCGCATTGTGACTATTGTTCTGCAAGACCTGAAAATTTAAGCGAACATCTAATGAATCAGCATACAAGCGAAAAGCCTTACCAGTGTTCTCATTGTGACTATAGAGCCATTTCACTTAAAATTTTGAAACGACACATTATGACATGCCATACAGCAGAAAAACAATATCACTGCCCTCATTGTGATTACAGTGCAGCTAGATCAGATTACATAAAGACACACTTACAGACGCAACATTCTAAAGAAAAGCCATTCAAATGTCCAAGCTGTGATTATAGAGCTTTTAGACCTGAATATGTAAAAACACACTTACGAACTGTGCATACTAAAGAAAAACCTCACAAATGTCCATACTGTGATTATGGAACGATTTTCACAAGAAATCTAAAAAAACATATCAATGCTAGGCATCAGGAAGAGAAGTCGTTGGAAGAGGTGAGGTGAACATAATTATTGTGGGTTCAAAATTCAAGACAATGGTATCCAAAGAAGCAAACTACTTTAATATACTAATTCACAAATTAGTGCTATATGATGAGGGAATGGTTTAACCATTTAAAAACACTTAAAACTTCCCTAGACCTGTTATTATTACAACCAGCCTTTTTAGGTTTATTGCTTTGTATAAGTAAGTGGATGAAAAGCTTTTTTTTTTCTTTTAATATTATGATTATGTTACAAATTATTGTTCATTTCATAATGATACTGGATATAGACAAGTCTTGTTAGTTCGTAATTTTAATTTTATTATTTATATCAAGACCTCAAATTTGTTTTACCTTTCCTGGGGTTAATATAAAAACAATTTAACTTAATTTATGTGGTATAATGACAGTGTTATGAAGGCATTGTTAGGAGGAATAGATTGATTCTATTTATCTGAAGATTTTTATAATTTCTCCTTTGTAACAATTTGATCTTGAAAATGGTTTTACTCCGTAAGTCGAAACATTCGCTTGATGAAATGAGACATAGTTTGTTCACAGCTCTCAAGTTATCTTTATACATTATTTCTCATTGGTGTTTTTTTTTTTTTTTTTTCGTTATTCCATATCTTCGTTAATACTTCATCAAACCCAATGATTGAGGTATCATTTTGTAGATTTTGTTCTCTCTCAGAGCGGAAAAATAATTATGTTCTCACATTTTATTTATAATTATATAAGAAAGGAAGGAAAATAAGATATAAAGAAAAAACATTATTTTCTCATAACTCAAAAATATTTCTGAATTTCCAACAAACCTAAAAAAAAAAAAAAAAAATCAAAATTAGACCATTATTATAATACATTGCATTTACTTATCTCCATATTAGATTACCGTTGGTTCTCTGATCAGTTCGATTTGAAAATTCTATTAGATGGATCATTTATTGAAGAAGGCTTCAACTTCAATCAACGAGGGAATAACTCTCAAACAAATTGGCATCGACACGAGATATCCTCTGATAATTACATTATATTTTGCCTTCTCTAGACCAGGTTGCGGAGAAATTATTTGTATGGGCCATATAGTGAATGATTTGAAAAAATTTCGAAATGAGATTAAGCTAAACAATGTGGAATTAGGACATATAAATTTGTTGGGCTTAGTCAGGAACTAATCCTTGGAAAGTTAATTATAATTGAACTGAAGGGTAAAAGTGCAAGGATTAGACTGAGATGCAAGTGATTGGTTTGTGTCAAGGCATTCATTTTTGCCTTCAGTGAAGTTGCAAGCTACAATTGGCTCAGTGCTCTAGAGTATGCCGCAACTGGAGCACACAGGCAAGATATTATTACATGTTCAACAAAAATGTGACATGTCTCATGAGGAAATATGACTTAGTGGTCAGGTAGAACTGATGTGGTTCTCTCGGGAAGTACTTCTTTAGAGTAGAATCATTTGGGATCATCTCCCACTGCTGGTACTCCCCCACATTCTCCTCTCCCCAACCCACCATTTCTGGCAAAGGAGTTTTCAGCAGCAGTGGGTTAACATGTTGGGTCTATTACTGCCAATAAAAACGTTAATTGATAATAAATCTCTTATCTTATAATTTTTTTTTTTAAGAATGTTTAATTATGGAAACAATAATTTTTTGGTGCAGCCTAGTTCTTGCATGCATGTGCACCATATTGATGGGGTCGCACTTTATACTCATTCAGATCAGGGTAAATAATGACCACTACCAATACAGAATTTGACTGCTGTGGACTGTATGTTGTATGTACTGGTACTTGATCATGCTGCGGGGTTAAACGGATTGCTATATTAAATGGTTGGATGACTAGTGTTGTGACGCGAACTAATATGAGACAGGCCACACACAAAAAACTTAAAAGGTACGGGTTTAAGGTTGTAGAATTAAAAAAAAGACCATATGCTCTTGTTACTAGTTAGAACAACTGACTTTTATTAATCGTAAGAAAGGTAATACAAAGAGGTATACTTGTCAAGCAAAAAGATATGAAAATATAATAGATCACCATTTGATCTTCCTTTAAAAAAATAAAATAAATAAGAAAACTGTGTTCAAACACAAATGCTCTTCAGTCTGGTGAATACTGTACTGGTTTACGAATAGTCCTTTTGGGAAGCGAAGGTGTTAGTTGTTCTTATCAGGATTGGGATCTTCTTCCGCTTGGAAATCCTCTTGTTCATTGAGACCTGGCGGCATCCTGTCCACATACTTCATTTCGTTCTAGGTCCTGGTCATCTTCCAAAGTATCTGTATCGCAACGTCTCGGAGACCCAATGGCATGATAGGCGACTGACTTCTGGATATGCCCATACCAGGCGAAAGTTTGCCTTGGAGATACGGCCTCAACTGGTTTAGATGTCTCTTCCACAAGAAGTTATCTTCTGTTTTGATGAGGTATTTTTGATGTCCCAGGGTGTCTTGTACGCATCCTTTAGTCCATTTTGCCTTGTTTGAGTAATCCCTTGCCCAAACCTGTTCTCAGAGATGGAATAATTTTGATGCTGGCCTCCATTTCTAATCAACTTTTCCTGATAGGTCTCCAAGATTTCTTTCTGGATATTCCCTAGTTGTTGCATGCTCCGTGTTTCTGAACTGTAACAAATAATCATTCAACGATTGCCACAGATTTTTCTCTTCAGCTAAAGACTTCAAAATACATCTTTTTAAAACTTTTACAGCTGATTCGGTACTGCAATTTGATTGGGAGTGGAATGGGGCTCCTACCAAATGCTGAACCCCATATTTGTACAAGAAAATTGAAAATTCTGAGCCTACGAAGCATTTGGCTCGATCAGTTGTTAAGGCTCAAGGTAACCTGAAACATGTGAATAGTTCTGAGAGCTTGACATAGCTGTTTCAGCCGTCATTGATGATACTAAAAACCCTTTGATTCTTTTGTTGTTGAATCCATGACAACAAAACAAGAAATTTTCATATTTATAGACATCAAAAAATGAATGTGGATCCGGGTCCAAGGAGTTTTAGGCCATGGATATGGCTGTTAAACTGCTTTAGGTGGGAACGGTTGGAAACGGCAGAAGGTCTATCACGAGTTGGCACACTGCTTAATATCTCTATCCAGCACTGGCCACCAAAAGTAATTTCGAGTGGAACTCTTTATTTTGACTGCATCGTGAAGCAGTTCCAAAATTTTATTCTGGAATTTTTCGGGTATGATAACACGGTAGCCCCACATAACGCATCCATGATCCACGGTCAGCTGGTCAAATCGTTTCCTGTAAGGCTTTACATTTTCATTTTTCTCAGGAAGTGATCCTCCATGCACTGAAACCCTAATAACCTGAGAGAGTACTGGATCAGTTCTTGTTTCTTGGCGGATAGTTTGCCAGTTTATTAGAAAAGGCAAGTTTTCATGAATGAAATTTTGTCATCAGAACTATTAAACTATAATTACTTTCAATCCTTGTCAGATAATCAGCTTGATTTTCTTTATATTTGATATATTTTATTTTATAATTATAATTTGAAATTAAATATCCCCATCTTTGTAGACAATTAGCAGCATAAATGGAAATGCCTTTCCGTTCTCCAAATATGAAAAGCAAGTGCCGGTGATCTGTCCCAAGGGTAAACTCTTTTAGAAATAAAAGATCTTAAAAATATGTGATCCCAAATATAATAGCCCAAACTTCTCTTTCGATGGTAGCATACTTTCGTTGGGCATCAATCAACATTTTAGAAGCATATGCTATAGGGAGTTCATTATTTTTATCATCAATATGAGAAAGAACTTCTCCCATCGCTTTGGCTGATGTGTCTACTTTCAATCGTAAAGATAAACTTGAATTAAAGTGTGATAAGACTGGTCAGAAGTTAAGATCTTTTTAATTTTTTCAAAAGCTATCTTGATAATTTTTTGTCCAGATAAATTTTTTTCCTCAATGGTACAAAGGTATAATATTTCAGGAGCATTAGGAATAAACTTTAGCTGAAACGTCACCAGTCTGAGAAACGATTTGGGAATTAGGTGGTGGAGCATCTTTTATAATCTTATCTGTGGCATGCAATCCTTTTTCACCCCAAATATTCCATAGAATTACACCCAAAAGAGCTTTTACTTAATTTAACTCCATAAAAAAACTCCGCCATAAATTGCTATGAAAGTATGGAATTTAAATTTTGAAGATGGGAATAATTTTCCCGAAACGACGACTTGACATGTAATTCAACAAATAAACCTATTGTTTGTATACCTGGAAGTTTTCATTTCCAAAAATATGTTCAACAAGCGCGAGCATACACCTAAATGCACTGCGAGCATACACCTAAATGCACTGCGTCCATTTGTGCTCCTGAATTACATAGGTTACATTTTGGATATTTTGCCACTCCTGTTTTATGCATATAATCATCCTATTCTATAAAATTTTAAAAATATCAGTGTCTACATACCTTATGCACAAACTCATCTGCTCAGTTGAACTGGTCTCTCAGGTTTCATCTGCAATGGATGAGAAATATTGTGATTTTTTAAATTTCTTTCACGACTTTGCTTACAATAATTTCTCCACAGCATTGAATCAGACCGTTTTGTATGATTTTGCTTATAAAAGTAGCATTCCTTGGAGCAATTTTCTAATTCTGTATCACCTGCACCAATTCTAGATCTCAACAACTCCCGAAATTTTCCTTGGTGCTCAGTATTCTCTCTTTCAAATTTTCCATCATCGTGGTGGCCACAAAGAGGAATATTTTCTGCTCCACATAGCGAAATGATTTTTTACAATAGGAACCAGACGTTTCCTATTTTGGGCTATTCTTCGACTTGCTGCCGATTCCAACAAAATGTCAATTTTATTCTCAAGCTTTTCGTATATTATCGTAAATTCGATGCTTTTTAAAACAGAAAATGTATGATACTTATTTTTACTATGATCCCTAAAGATTTCAAGAGCATGTTTGTTTTTCAAAGGAGTAGTGACTAACTGGTCAAGCGGCGTTTTCTTTTTTATGCCCGCCT